ACTTAGGCTGGAGCATTATCGACACTTCGCCGATGGAGTGATTACAGCCCTAGGCACTCAAGATAATATGATGGATCGTTCATTAGAGTTGATTTTCATCGCTAGGAGAGCGATTAGGAGGTTGCACACTTATCTGGCGGTGTTAGCAGGAATTCTGATGATAGTGATAGGGTTGCTTATTTGGAGTCTTAAGCTTTAGAGGATTTTATTTATTAAGTTGTTGATGGTGGAAATTTAAGACTTTCTTTTGAGGCTTGTAGTCGTGGTTTGTGAACAATTTTTCTTTTATATTGCACATCTTTATTTTATTTATGGATCTTATGAGATTTTTTCTATGAATGGTTAAGTTTTGTTGATTATCGATTTAATGCCTTTACTATTATAAGTTATTATATTATTACCTTGGTTACATGATTAGATGATTGTAACATGTCGTGCAACACAGTGGTAAATAATGAGAGTAACTGAACTTCGACTTAAAAATTTGTGCATTAGAAATATGCCTCCAAGAAGGAGTACTCGCAGCACGAGAGAAAATCCTAAAAGCCAAACACCCGATATAGCACGGTTAATAGCTCAGCAAATTCGGGAGGCAGTACCAACTATTGTCGCTCAGGTTACAGCGGGCATTAATGCAAGTCAAAGGAGTGAGGGAGGCCCTAGCACCGAGAATCTCGTCAGGGAGGAGAACTGTAACATCAATGATAGAGGATGCAGTTACAAGACATTCATDTCYTGCAWGCCHAAGGASTTTCATGGTAAAGAAGGTGCAATTGGATTACTATCATGGATTGAGAGCATGGAGTCGGTACTCCATATTAGCAAGTGTTCCGAGGACTGTAAAGTGGAGTATGTAACATGCCAACTCCAGTGAAGAGCCCTAACTTGGTGGAACATTCAAGTTCAAACCCGTGGTCGCCAAGCTGCCTATGAGTTATCATGGGAAGAACTCAAAAAGTTACTCATCGAAGAGTATTGTTCTAAGAGCGAAATTCAAAAATTGGAAGTCGAATTATGGAATCACACCATGATTGGAAAGGAGGTAGACAAATACACAGCTCGTTTTCATGAGCTTGCCAAGTTAGTACCTCATATGGTCACTCCAGAGGAGAAACGAATTGATCAGTACATCTGGGGATTGGCACCTGAAATCCGAGGGATGGTCACTTCAGCAAACCCAACCACTATACAAAAAGCGGTGGTGTTGGCAAATCGTCTGACAAATGATGCAGTTAGATCAGGGATTTTAAAGCAAGACAAATTAGGTGGAAAGAGGAAACTAGAGGGGCAATCGTGGAAAAGGACCAACAACGACTTAGGCAAAAACCAAAAAGTGATAAGAAACTTTGGGGCTCAGTCTCAAATAGGAGAAAAGGGCAAGGGGACTTACCCTAAATGTGGCAAGTGCAATTATCACCATAGCGGGAGATGCATTATTTGTTTCAAATGCAATAAAGGAGGTCATTTCGCTAAAGATTACAAGATCAGAGAGAATCAATCATGCCATGAGTGCGGAAGCCCAAATCACTTCAGGAATAAGTGCCCAAGGATAATTAGAAGATCGAGCATCAACAATGCCGGAAACCAGGAAAGGCAAACCAGTCAGGGAGATCGAGGAGGCCAGGCTCGGGGAAGGGCATTTGCAATGGGAGCCGAAGAGGCACGTCAAGAGCCTAATGTTGTGACAGGTACGTTTCTTTTAAACAACCTCTATGCCTCAGTAATATTTGA